CTTTAGTCGTGTCTGACTCTTTGTGACCCCATTTTGGGGTTTTCTTGGCAAAGATACTAGAGTGGTTTGCTATTTCCTTCTCCAGCTTATTTTACAGATGAGGAAACCGAGGCAAAGAGAGTTAAGTGATTTGCCCAGGATCATACACAGCTAGTAAGTATTTGAGGCTGGATTTGAACTCAGGTCAAACTAACTTTAGACCTGGCATTCTATCCACTGTGCCATTTAGCTGCACATAGCAGGCACTTAATAAATGCTTGTTAATAGAGATGCCAACTCCCATCCCTTTCTTAATGTTCTCTCCCTTTTGATGTTACTTTGTATTGATGTTGCTGAATACACGTTGTATCCTCTTGGTAGAGTGTAAGTTCCCTGAGGGCAGGGTCATCTTTGTATCACCAGTGCCTTGCAGAATGCCTGGTATATAGCAGGTGCCTAATAAATTCTGATTGATATAGACATGTTATCTACTAATAGAAGTAATCTCCCCGAGGGCAGGGCCTGATTAATTTTGTCTTTGTATCACCAACGTCTTGCCTAGTGCCTGGTATGTCGTAAGTGATTTATAAATGTTTGTTTATATATGTATAATGTGTGTGTGTGTGTGTGTGTGTGTACAATGTATCTATGCATACATGTATGGGCACATACACATACACATTTTGTCTCCTCCAACAGAATGCAAGTACCCCAGGTTACTATGTTTTTGTCTTTGTATCACTATGCCTTGCTTAGTTCTTGGCATATAGCAGGTACATAATTGTTTGAGTTGAGTTGAATTGAAATCCAAGTTCAGCGTACACTTCTATAATGTCCATCTGAATCCTAAGGTGGCGAATGAGTCAAATTCATCTAATTTTTTTCTGACTTCTTGGGGATGGGTAACCGTAGGCCGGTCAGCTAACGTCCATGTCTTGACTGACACCGGGTGAAGGACAGTGTTCCTCGTACTGAAAACAGGGTGCGAGTGTGCAGGAGGGCGTAAGTGATCAGTGTTTAAGGTCTTCCCATCAAAGGTGTTATTATTGCAGTTTCCTTCACATCGACCTTGTCGTGTCCTGGCATGACGCTGGGGTCATCACTAAGGTCACAGCTGACCACAGAGGAGAATGAACTTGCTATAGTAAGTAATAGTTGATCCCTCATCAATAGTCGATCCCTGATCAATAGTCGACCCATCATCTTCGGTGGCTCCCACTTGCCTCCGGGGTGAAGGCCAGACTTCTCTACCTAGCATTCAAGGCTCTCAATACTTTGGCACCATTCCCTCCTCTAATATTATTGTTTTTTTCTGTGAGCTCTCAGAAACTCAACAATTCTCAGCTCTCCTGATGTGCCCTCTGCTCTCCTGCCTCACCTCCTTTGCTTTCACACTTCCCCCTACATGGACTGCTTTTCCTTCCTTTCTTCTTTTGAATTCCTGCCCATCTCTTAGATTGCAATAGTGACTGGCCCTGTGATCTCACTGGTGTGGAGAGAACTCTCTGTTGGGAGTCTGTGTAGGTCTGTCCCTTCTCTGCAACAGTAGGCTTTCAGAGTTACCTGGGGCCCAGAGAGGTTACTTGACCAAGGTCACACAGCTGGTCTGTATCAGCAGGACCTAAACCCAGGCTTTGCTGACTCTAAGGCTAGCTCTCTATCCACTACGCCATACTGCCTTTTTTTTTCAAGTTTATCTTAAATTCTACTTCCTCCATGAAACTTCCCCTGATCCCCTGGGTTGGTAATGATTAGACCCCTCAGCTGCACATTGACCTTTGTCCTATATCTCTCTAATTTCCCCATGTAGTTATCACATATTATACGTGAATAAATGATAACGCATTTATGTACCAGGCTCTGTAGTAGGCACCACAGGTGTAGAATGAGATAGAGTGAAATAGTTCCTACCCTCAAGGTAGTTTACATTCCACTCATACATTCTACATACATACTCAAGAAGTTTACATTCTAATCTGGGGAGACAATATGTAGATATAGATATCTAGATAGCTGGCGCTATTTATCTTTCTAGATCTATCTATCTCTATACCTATCTGTCTAGATCTATTTCTATGTGTCTGCATCTATCTATATATCTTTAATTATACATATGTATGTATGCATGCATGTATGTATGTATGCATGTATGCATGCATGTATGTATGCATGTATGCATGCATGTAGATGGGAGTGGTGGCCAGGGCGGGGAGTTGGAGTCTGGAAGTCATGAGGTTGATAAGTTAAGTCATAGGGCATCTACTATTGATTTGATTATTATTCCCAGAGCAAGAATTAGGGTTCAGGGATAAGACTGGTAGATGGCACGATGTCTAGAGTGCCCAAACCAAATGATGACCTGCAGTCAGTTAGATATAGTGGGCTAGGTGTCACCTGCCAGGATAGCTCAGACCCAGAGAGATCTAAAGCTAAATTGATTAAGGTAGCATGGCTACAAGGGGGATTTGGAGATGTGACTTCAAATCCGATGTTAGACACTCATATGGGCTGGGTGACACTGGGCAAGTCACTTAACTTCTCTTCACCTCAGTTTCCCCAGCTATAAAATGAGGGGGTATGATGTGATGACCCATAAGGTCCTTTCCACTCCAAAATCTATGATACCATGATCCTCCAGGAAAAGAGAAATGGCGGTAGGCACAGTGTTAAGAAGGGACTATTTCAGAGAAGGAGGGGGGAGCACCAGCATGCCAGGTGGCAAGATGTCTAGAGTTTCTTGGTATCTTACCCACCTTCTAGACTGCAAGCTTCATATGGCCAGAAACTGTATCTTTTTTTTATTCAACAGACATATTTAAATTTTTAATTTAATTATTTTCAATTAACAAAAATGTTTTCTCTTGCTCCCATTCCCCTTTCCCCAGCCAACAAACATTTAGTATGTGCCTTGAACACAGACAGTTAAAGCCAAAGGTTAAATTGTCGCTGCTCTCAAAGAGTTGACATTCCACTGGGAGGGTGAAACCTGTGGTATGTGTCTTATGACCAGTAAGTGGTGCAGTGGATAGAGTGTTGCAGGAAGATCTGAGTTCAAATTCAGCTTCAGACACTGTGTGACTCTGGGCAAGTCACTTAACTTTGTTTATCCCAGTTTCCTAACTGTAAAATGGGGATAATAACAACACCTACTTCACATAATTGTTATGAGGATCAAATGAGAGGATATTTGTAAACCGTTTAGCATGGTGCCTAGTACATAGTAGGTGTTATATAAATACTTATTCCCTTCCTCCCTCATGGTAAATTTGTATCTTCTTCAGAGGCTAACAGTATTCTGTATACAGTAGGTGCTTGGTGGAGATTTGCTGAATGAATGAATGAATCATTATCACGCAAATTTACTTAGTTCAGACTTCTCATTATTTCACCTAGTTAATAGGTAATTGTTAAGCGCCCACTCTGTGAAAAGCAGCTAGTGAATTCTTTTGAAATTGCTTTGAGAAGTAATCAGGCAGTTTCCTCATTAAAAGCAATTGGGCTCTTGCCCAATTTTCTCTGATTCCTCTTCCGTGGTTGATCTGTTTTTTTTAAATAAAATTTCATAGTTTTTTTTTTTACCTCAGTTAAATTGACCCCTTGCCCCTCCCAGAGAGCCATTCTATGTAATAAAGAATATTTTTTAAGAAAAAGAGGAAAAATAATCAGCAAAATACATTTTATTTATTTTTTATTTATGGAATAAAACAAGCATTTTTTGAAAATCTGACAATAAAAGCCCTTATCCAAACCCATGGACCTCCCACCTCTGCAAAAGAGTGGGGTGGGGGTGTTTTATAGCTTTTCTTCAAGACCATATTTGTTCTTTGTGATTATGCGACATTCCCTTTTAATTGTTTTATGGCTGGGTCTGATTTAGTCTGGTCAGGTTTGAAAATTAAGCCAAGGAAATGTGGGCCAAAAGATCATTGGAAAGAGTAAGGGGCAGATTTAGGCCCAATGTGAGGAAAAGCTGGCATTTAGACTGTGGACTGGACTTCCTGGGAGATAGTGGGCTCCCCATCTCAGAGGTGTTCTGGATGACCCCTTGAGAGGGGATGCCACAGACAGAATTCTTGTGCAAGTACAGGTTGGATGAGATGGTCAGGGAGGCTCCGCCCACCTCTGAGGTCTTGTGAATCTTGGAAGAGGCCCGCAGTGGCAGACTCCCAGCCAGATGGCCGGCTTATGGGATGATTACACATGCAGGCGTGCAGGCCCTGATTTACCCGCCCCAGGTACCCAGATAGAACTGATAATGAGCTTTTTATTTGGACTGGCAGGTGGGACTCTCCCTGTCGCACCAGGTTGATTGGATGGCCCATCCTGGGGCTTAGATATGGGATCGAGTCAGGTCAGCCAGCAGGCCCCTCCTGATTTTAATCCCCTTAAAATGTGATTTTCTCCCCTTCTGTGGCCTTGACAACTGATGCTCATTTCCCATTCCCTCTTCCCACGCACCATCTCCTGGAAATTACACAGGGAGCTCGAAATTAAGGGCCCCTGGAATTTTGTTCCCACCGATGTCAGAAATAAAAGTATCAAAGATCCAAGGCTTGGCAGACAACACCCCCTGGCCCTGTGTCTGCTTGTGATGCCAGTGTGTTTTTCCCAAAGTAATGCTGAAAGGACATCTTCAAAATGTTGTGACTTTTCAAGGCAGCAGAGTACAGTGAAAAGGGCATGGGATTTTGATTCAGAAGAACTGGGTCTGAAGCCCAGCTTTTGTACTTAATTACCGCCTGTGTGGCCTTCCCCACTCTGAACCTCAGTTTCCTTCTCTATAAAATGATTAGGTTTTATGTCACATTGCTTGCTTTCTCATTGAGGGGAGTGGGAAGGCTAGAGAGAATTTGAAACTCAAAAAGTTTTAAGAAGTGAATGTTAAAAATTATTTTTACATGTAATTGGGGGGAAAATAAAGTATTTTAAAAATGTAAAAATAAAATGATGAGGTTGGACTCCAAGGCTGTAATTCTAAGACCTATGACTAAAATCTTCCTCTTTTTTCTCTTTTCTTTCAGACTCGTTCCCTACTGAGTGTCTTTGAAGAAGATGCCGGGACCCTCACAGACTACACAAACCAGTTGCTGCAGGCCATGCAGCGAGTTTATGGAGCCCAGGTATGATGGTCTCACTTTTCTGACAATGCATACCTGTGCCCTCCTTCCTAACTAACCTTGGGGGATCTTCTAGAAGTCTGCCTAAAACTAGCATTTTAGAAAAGGGAATCAAATTTTTGTTCTCTCTTATTTTTTTTCTTCAATTACATGTAAAAAACATTTTACATTCATTTTTTAAAATTTTGTGTTCCAAATTCTCTCTCTTCCTCTCTCCCCTCTCCCCTCCTTGAGCTGGCAGGCAATTTGACATAGATTATACATGTGCAGTCATGCAAAATATATTTCCATGTTAGCCATGTTGCAAAAGAAAACAGATTGAAAAAAGAAAGAAAGAAAAAGAAAGAAAGAAAGCCAAAAAAGTCTGCTTTGATCTGCGTTCGGCCTTCATCAGTTCTTTCTCTGGTGTGAATAGCATTTTTCGTCATCAGTCTTTCAGAATTGTCTTGGATCGTTATATTGCTGAGAACAGCTACGTCATTCAGAGTTGGTCATTGCACGAAAGGGAGTCAGATTGGCCTTGTCTCTCCTTCTTCCCTGAAAAGGACTTTGAGGATGCTTTGATTTAACTGAGATCATGGGATCTTGAATTTGTCATTTTCCAGATGAGGAAACTGAGATTCAGAGAAATGACTTGTCCAGGATCACACAACCAGTAAGGGTCTGAGGCAGGATTTGCAGCCAGGTCGTCCTGCATTCAATCCTGACTAACCTGTCCTATTCTGCCTCCTTTGTACAAGGAGGGTGGAGTCTAGACCAGTTGATCTCCAAGGTTCCGTTTGGTTCTAGATTCTAGCCAATACAAAAAGGAATCTGTTGGGGCCATCTGGTCTAATCCCCTCATTTTACAGATAAGGAAACCGAGGCTGAAAGTTTAAGTGATTTGCCTATGGTTGCAAAGGCACTAATTAGCAGAGCCAGAACCTCCCTGGTAAAGATTGGAAAACTGGCTACTGAGGTCACTTCCAACTCTGAAATTCAGTGACTCAGAACCCGGAGCCTCTTGACTCCAAATTCAGCTTGCTTTCCTCCGCACCATTCTTTCCTTCTCAAGACAAGGGGCTCCATTTCTCTCATAATCGCAAACTGATTTGGCTTCTTAGAGAGAGGGCACAGAGCTGTCTTTTTATTTCTTGAATTCACTCCAGGCAGAAAACACTAGAACATCTTCTTGCCAGCAACGTGTTGGTATTTCTGCCGCTGGTATTCTCATGGATTCATGTCCTTTGTTCACGTCTAACAAATTCCCAACTTGTCAGTGTGGAAGGATAAAGATCATGCTTCTTTAAATACTTATTCTGAAAAGTTTAAGTCATAGGTCTAAGATTATTGAGGACTGCCCCCAAGTTCCTTTTTTCTGTTGAGGGGCAGAAATACATATGTGGCTTGCAAACAAGACACTTCCCTGGGGGGGGGGGGGAAGGTTGCTAAATAGTGAATGTAAATATTTTTAAGATTAAGAAGCACTCATGTGACCAAAATATTTCTAGTAGCACTTTTTGTGGGACCAAAGAACTAGAAATCAAATCTATGCCCATTGATTGGAGAATGGCTTAACAAGTGGTGGTAAATTACTGCACTGTAAGAAATGATGACTGTGATGAGTGCAGAGAAGCATGAGAAGATTTATATGAACTATGCAAAGGGAAGTGAGAAGAACCAGGAAAACAATATAGATAATGACAAGAACAATGCAAATGGATAGTATTGAAAAGCGAACAAAACTGAAGGCTGGCAAATTAAAATGACTAATTTGGTCCCAAAGAAGAGATATGAGAAGGTATGCTCCTACCTCCATTTGTAGACGTGGGAGACTGTGAATGTGTGTCAATTACTACATAAAATTTCAGACGTGGTTCATATGTTGGTTTTGCTTAACTGGGCTTCTCCCCCCCCCTTTTTTTTTTAATTCTTTGTTATAAGGGAGGGTCCTCTAGGTAGGAAGGGAGAGGCATAGGGATAGCTTAAGAAATGTAGGTGATATGAAAAAAGAAGATATCAGTAAAAAAAATTTTTTTAAAAGAACCAAAATCATAATTAGGCCAGGGTGATTAGGACCTTATTCTAGAGCACCAAAATTTAGAGGGATCTGCTAATTCAGCAACCCTGCCAACTCAGGGGTTTGTCAACTCAGTTAGGAAAAAAAAATTGAGCTTAGCGCCTTTTTGGAAGAATAGTGAGTTAAATTAGGAAGCTGCCACATAGCACCCTCATAGTGTTGTGGGTCACCATTCATGGGATTGGGTTCTGGGTGTCTTCTTCTGCACTTGTTCAACGACATTTGTCTCCAGAAGTTGCTTTGAGGGATTATCTGGTATTTCCTGCCCTGGTCAGAAGAATTGCTGACTCTGTCCCTGGTATGTTTGTATTGGTATTTGTGGATTTCTCGCACCTGAAAATATTGGAATAGGAATTTAGTAGGTTTGCGGTTTCATATGCAATCATCTTTTTTATTGTACTTTGTTATATAGATCCTTGTTTTGCTACATAAATTTAAAATAAATAGAAACTGAATAGGACAGGCAAACAGACAAACAAAAAGAATTGTTTGTTGGAATCCTTGGGTTCGGCATGGTCCCTTGTACCAGCTACACAGTAGTGAACTTGACAAAATGGGAAAACTGAGTTGTGATCATCATTACCCATTCCTACCCAGGACTACAGGACTGGAGCTAGGCAAATGCATACACTTCTCCCATCCCCTCTTTCTCTTTCTCACTCATGGCCTCCAGAGAAATTCTACATGGTCTGTTATGCCTTATATAGCTTTTGGATCTGGATTGTGATTTCATTAGCTCAGGGAACTCCCAGCATGGAAATTTCCTCTACCGGTACAAATCAATGTGTACTCTACAACTCAGCATCTTGAAATATCCCTGGGACACCAAGAGGTTAAGTAACTTGCCCAGCGTCCTTCTTTCCATTTCATTCCTTAGCATTGATTTGTTTACTACTTCAGAGCCCCCAGATTTGTTTACTGACCCTCGTATAGGGAAGGCTGCAGGGAAGATGGTAGGAAAATGCCACTCTATTCCCCCTTCAGGTCTCCCCCTCTAGCCAGACCAACACCACCAAAATACCCCTTCCTGACCATCACTCACCTACATTTACGTTTTCTTCCCCCATTAGAATGCAATCTCCTTGAGGGCAGGGATTATCCTGCTTGCTTATCTTTGTACCCCAGTACTGAGCACTGTGCATGACTACACAGTAAGCATTTAATAAATGCTTTCCATTTCCAGTTTGAGGACTGCTCTCCACACACACATTAAAAGCTGCTTAGTAATCATCAATTACCAATATGTCATTAATTACCATTGGTAATATATAATAGATACCGATTATAATAAATAAAATGTAACAGCAGGGTGCTTAGCTCATAAGAGAATATTCACAGTAGCTCAGAAATTCTATTTTAAGGATAATTTAGACAAAAACCGAAATTGCTACGTGAACACAGCATAGTTAGCAGACTCGATATTGACCTGGTACTACCTATAACTAGCAGTGCAGTCTAAAGCAAGTCACTTGACCTCTCTGAGCCTCAGTTTCCTTATCTGTAAAATGAGAGAATTGTAGTAAATGGCCTCCAAGGTTCCTTCCAACTCTCAGTCCCATAAAGAGACATTTCCTTCCCTGCCTTCTTCACTGGGTTAGGGTGAGGCTCAAATGAGATTGTGTGTGTGTGTGTGTGTGTGTGTGTGTGTGTGTATGCATGCAAACAATGAGAAGTGTCAAGGCTATGCATAGGTGATGTGTGATTTTCACTGACTTTGAGAGAAAGTGAGATATGATCTTTTGAAGGAGGAGAAAGGGAAAAATCAAGATTTTGCAGCATCGTGATGGGACGGAGTGGTTAGGAGGCAGGACAGTGTGGTGGATAGAGTGTAGGACCCGACGTCAGAAAGACCCAAGTTCAAATCTTGTCTCTGATACATCCTACTCAGTCAATAAGCCTTTATTAAGCTCTGACAATGTGCCAGGTACTTTACTAAGCCTTGAGCATACAAAGAAAGGCAAAAATAGTCCCTGCCCTCAGGAAAGTGACTCTCTAACTGGGGAGATAAGATGGAATATATAATAAGTATCCTGAGTAGATGGAAGGTTATCTCATGGGGGAAGGTATTAACAGTTGAGGGGGAGGGGACCTGGGATGGCCTCCTGCAGAAAGTGGAATTTGAGCTGAATGTTGAAGGAAGCCAGAGATTCTAGGAGGTAGAGGTGAGAAAGGGAAAGCACTTCAGGCCTGGAGGACAGTCCATGCAAAGGCTCATAAATGGGAGATGGCAAGTACCATCTGAGGAACTGCAAGTAGGCTAACATAGCTACATCATTGAGGGTGTGGAAGAGAAGAGGAATACTGAATCGTGGGAAAAGGCCTGTTGTAAGGGGCTTTAAATGCCCGACAGAATTGTATATTTGATCTGGGAGCCCATTAATCAGGGAAGTGACATAATCAGGCCTATGTTTTAGAAAAATCACCTTGGTGGCAGAGTGGAGGATAGTTTGGAACAGGAAGGGAGAAGAATTGAGGCAGGCGGTCTAGTTAGAAAGCTGTTGCTTTCCAGGTGAGAGGTGATGAGGACCTATCTGTGTGAGTAGAGAGAAGGGAATGGATACAAGAGATGTTTTGAGAGTAGATGTCACAAGAGATGGCATAGATAGGATTGAATCTATAAGGAGAGTAAGAGAGGAATCCAAGATGGCACCTGGTTGGGAGCCTGATGACTGCGAGCATGGTGGTCCTCCCAACAGCATTAAGGAAGGCTTTGCAGAACCCTGGACAGCTCACTTAATTTTTCAGAGTCTCAGTTTTCTCCTCGGTACAATGGAAATAACATTACTTGCTACCTCACAAGACTGTCATAACCCTCAAATGAGCCAATGCCTATATAGTGTTTTCCAGACTTTCAAGTGTATAAAAATGGCAGTAGAAATTACTATTACAGCAATGAAGGCATTTTGAACTGATTGTTGCCGCCCACTGCATTCATTATCCCTTT